GGCAAAAGCACGGTGTGCTTGAGGAAGCCACGGAGGAACTCTGGTGTGCCGCCGGGTTCACGTACTCCACCGAGCTCGCCGCCGAAGCGCATCAGGCCAAGCCGAAGAAGACCTTCGACGAAATGGTTCCCGAGGAATATCGGCAGTATGCCAAGGTGTTTTCAGAACTGGATTCGGAGCGTCTACCCGAGCATAAGCCATATGATCATACCATCGATCTAAAGCCCGACGCCCCCGAGACTATCCGCTCCAAAGTGTACCCGATGCCGGTAAACGAGCAAGCCGAGCTCGACGCCTTCCTCGATGAGAACCTTCGCAAGGGCTACATCGTCCCCTCTAAGTCCCCCATGGCTTCACCGGTCTTCTTTGTCAAAAAGAAGGACGGGAAACTCCGCATGGTCCAAGACTACCGAAAGCTGAATGACATCACCGTCAAAAACCGGTACCCACTCCCCCTCGCATCGGACATCATCAATCGCCTTCGCCAATCTAAGTACTTCACCAAATTTGATGTTCGTTGGGGCTACAACAACATCCGGATCAAGGAAGGCGATGAGTGGAAAGCAGCTTTCACGACCAATAGGGGTCTGTTTGAACCACGGGTCATGTTCTTCGGTCTCACCAACTCCCCGGCCACCTTCCAAGCACTGATGAACTCTATCTTCGGTGACCTGATAGCCGCTGGGAAGGTAGCAGTGTACCTGGACGACATCCTCATCTTCAGTAACACGCGGGAAGAGCACCGCAGGGTCACACACGAAGTACTGCGTCGGCTCCAGGAACACGACCTGTTCCTACGACCCGAAAAGTGCGAATTTGAGCAGACCGAGATCGAGTACCTGGGCTTGGTGATCCGACAGGGCGAAGTCAGCATGGACCCCATCAAAGTCCAGGCCGTACGCGACTGGCCGACCCCACGGAACCTACGGGAGGTCCGCGGATTCATCGGGTTTGCCAACTTCTACCGTCGCTTCATCAAGGACTTCGCTAAGATCACACGACCGCTCCACGACCTCACCAAGAAGGACGTCACCTGGGAATGGGGACTGCGGCAGCGAACGGCGTTTGACACCCTCAAAGAAGCCTTCACCACGGAGCCGGTGCTGGTGACCTGGGAACCAGACCGCCCTACGCGAGTCGAGGTAGACGCCTCGGGATACGCCACCGGAGGGGTCCTTCTGCAGAAGCTCGAGGACGGACTCTGGCACCCAGTCGCATTCCGGTCGGAATCCATGACGGAGGCAGAGCGAAACTACGAGATCTACGACCGAGAACTGCTGGCCATCGTGAGAGGACTGGAGGACTGGCGGCACTTCCTCGAGGGGCTGCCCGAACCCTTCGAGATCATCACCGATCACCGCAACCTTGAATACTGGCGCACCGCCCAGAACCTCACCCGGAGACAGGCGCGCTGGGCCCTTTGGCTGTCACGCTTTGATTTCCGACTCACACATAAGCCGGGAACTGCCAATACCCAGGCCGACCCCCTCTCACGCATCTCGGAGTTTCAAGTCACCGACGCCGAGGACAATCAGGATCAGATTGTCCTTTGGCCCGAACGCTTTGCCACCATCGCGGCGTCAGCACTACGCGCGGTTAACCCGCTGGAGGAACGGATCAGGGAGAGTAGCAGGCGGGAGGCGGAAGTCCTCAAGGGTTTGGAAGCCCTTCGGGAGGACGGGCCGCGAAGGTTGACGGATGGGACGTGGGAATGGGAAGAGGAGGGAGGGCTGGTGTACTACCGTGGACGGTTGTACATCCCGCCCGAGGAAGGATTACGGGAGGCCATCGTCCGGCAGTGCCACGATGCGCCAACGGCAGGACACCCAGGAAAGCATGGGACGGTCGAACTAGTCACACGGCTGTACTGGTGGCCGGGGATCAGCGGGTTTGTCGAGAAGTACGTTCTGGGTTGCGACAAATGCCAACGCTACAAGGCGGCCGTGCATCCCCGGGCTACGCTTCAACCGCACGAGGTACCTGAAGGCCCTTGGGTAGTCATGGGAGTAGATCTGATTACCGGACTGCCCTCGTCAAAAGGGTACAACGCCATCGCCACATACATCGACCTTTACAGTAAGCAGGTCCACCTGGTAGCCACCACCGACACCGTCACCGCCGAAGGGATAGGCGAACTGCACTATCAGACCATCTTCCGGCTTCACGGCATTCCCCAGAAAATCGTGTCGGATAGGGGACCCCAGTTTGCCGCCCGTGTCACCAGGGCCCTGTACAAGCGCCTTGGTATCGAAAGCGGTCTCACCACAGCGTATCACCCCATGGCAAACGGACAGACGGAGCGAGCCAATCAGGAGGTAGAACAGTACCTTCGGATCTACTGCGACAAGCGACAGGACGACTGGGCGGACCTCCTCCCCACGGCGGAGTTTGTGCTCAACTCTCGGGTACAGACAGCTCATGGACAAACTCCGTTCGAAGTCCTGTATGGCTACCGCCCGGACTTCACCATCCCGGCAGGACGTCCCACGCAGATCCCATCTCTAGACGCTCGGCTCAGCAAGCTCCGAGAAGCCCGGAAGGAAGCGGAAGCGGCACTACGCATGAGCAAGGAACGCATGAAGCAAGCCTACGAAGACGGCAAGCGAAAAGCACACACGTTCAAGGTCGGCGACCGGGTTTGGCTCACCGCTAAGAACATCCACATCCACCAAG